GTGAAGAGTGAACTATCTGGAGAAATTTTTGTGTCCTTTCTATTTTTACTTATGACAGAATAACTGATTGCAGTTGCCTTTTCCCCCCAAACATTTGGTATGTTAAGTTCTTTTTCGGTGATTTTATGAAGCCTCTGGTTGTACCTTAGCTGGGGTGGTGAACGTTCTTAGGAGAGGGCGACCTCAGGCAGCGTGGAGCTCATCTTTACCTCCAGGTACAGCCCCCAGGGGTCGGCCCCCAGCAAGACTGAGAAGTCAGCTAGGTTTGTCTTCAGAGCCTGACACCACTCATCTCTCGGAGCTTTAATGCTTCCTACTTCTATTTTTAGCACTTTCTTTTCCTGAGGTGCTCTGGGATCTTCCGTTACAGAGGAAAATAATGACAAAGTCACTCGTGACATTGTATTAAAGATTTAAGAACTGCTCTCTTATGAGGCCACCCTAAAAATGTGGATTTTTTTTAAGGGGTAACCCACAAACAGCCAAATTAAGGAATAGTGAAGTGTAAGGAAACCTCACCGGGGGTTGGGGGGGCGGGGTGTGGTCGTGAGGAGAGGGAGGGGTTGCTGAGTCCCCCCAGGCACTCTACAGGCACCTCTGTGGTGTGCTCACATACAGCCAGGCTGGCTCTTCATTTCCTCATGGGTGTTAGAAAGTCTGACGGAGTCTGATAGATAATGCTTGCTATTACAGAAGGAGAAGGAGGGAGAAACGCAGGAGAAGAAAGTAACCCAGAGCTCCTTTATTCGTCGAGAGCATAACTGCAGAGAGTTCAGTAAACCCTAAAAGACCACCTTTATCAGAGCCTCCTCCCTGTTCTGCTTCCCACCTGTCTTAGGAGTGAAATGTTACATGAAATGGTCGAAGTCTAAAGGTCTAATGGATGTCCAAGAGTGAGTTCATTCTTCTGAGAGAGAATCTGAATTAACATTCATTTGATCATACTGCGCTTTCACGTGTAACTTTAAAATGCTTTAATGGCAGAAACATCTGTTTATACATCACTGTCCCACTCCAAAAACCCTTTCTGTATTCTTGGTCTCTGGAAGTTTGAGGGTAGGTTTTAGAACCCAAGGAACTTGAATTTTCTAACATCACAAAACGAGTCCATGGTGAATTTGAGACAACTCTTGTCCATATAGTTCAATAAAACACACACACACACACACACACACCTTTTTCTAACTTCAATTTAACTGAAGTTAATATTGCCACTTTTGAAGAATATTTTTGTTTAAACTATGTTCTCCTTTGGTTCTTTACGGGCTATGGCTTGTAGCTTGTAAATTCCACAAATAATGATGACAACACCTTAGGTCTGTTATTTTTTTTCTTCCTCAGGAAGAGTCATATATTTTGTGCCACATCACAGTTTCTTTTGTAGCTTTGAGGCTCTTTAAAACATGCTCATACTATTCAACAGCTAGGTAGGTAAAAACTGATATTGCATTGCTAATTCTAATTTTCTGATTAAATTATAAAACATTTTTTGTTCCACATGAGGAAAAAAATAACACTTTTGCAGTGATGAGCATAGTAGTTAAAATTTATGTTATGCATCATCCTTCTAATTTTGCAAGTAACATTCTATGTTATCTTCAATTATCTCACATTTTTTCAATTTTCCTAATACTTCAAATAGGGAAAATATAATATTTGTTCATAAGTGGTAATAATTAAATAAAAGAACCCAATTAAAATATTTCCATTAATTATGTACTATTAATCACCAATTCCATGACCTTTTCTTAGACCCTAGTCTCTTTGATCACTCTTCCTAAGAAAAAATCCTTCCCTTGCGCTAGTTAGTTAGGTAGACCTATCATCCCCGATTGTCTGGGAGTCCCTGAGTTTTAGCATTGAATGCCCTCAGTTCGGGCAAACCAGGATGGTTGGTCACCGTAACTCTGGTCCAGTCTCCAGCTAATTTCTCTTGTCTCTTTCATATCAAAATTTCTCCACTGAATACTCCACACTCCCCTTCTCCATGTCTTAACCCCTTAATTTACTCCTAAACTTACTGCAACTGTGCCTCTGCCTCTATCACTTCATTCACATGGATTTTGCAAGAGTCCCCAGTGACCTTTATCTCTCTCCAAAGGACACTTGCCAGTCCTTAAGTCAGTGGACTCTGCTGTTGGATTTTATACTGCTGATCACACGCTCCCTGAAGATCTTCACTCCCAAGGCTTCTATAGCATCATAGCTTCCTGGTCTCTGACTGTTCTTTTTGACTCTTATTTATGGGATCATCTCTCTCTGTTTTCTGAAAGATGATTTTTCTCAAGATTCTATACTTGATCATCTTCCCTTATCACTCTATAAACCCTTTCCTTGGCTGATCTCACATACTTCCATGCTTTGAACCATTCCCTATACAGTGATAACTTTGAAAACTATATTTGCTACTTAGACTTCTCTTGTGAGCCAGCTACCTGTTAAACATCTGCACCTGTGTGTCCCAGATGCATTTCAATAAAGCTGAAATTTTTAATGTGACCTCTGGTGAGCTTGCCTATGATCCTCTTGCTCTCTTCTCCTTCTTTATTGTTGGAATAACAAACTATAATTCACCTGTGCTAAAAATCTTAATGTCATCCTTGATTATATTCTCTTTCGTCTCCATTGATCCAATTAGTAAGTTGTTCAATTTTACAGCCTAAATAATTCTTAAATTGGTACTTCCTTCTCCATTCTTATTTTCATTTCCTAGTTTCAAGAAATTGCCTTCTTTTATCTGAATACCACACCACAGCCTCCCAAATCATCATATCACTTTAGTCTTGCCTTCCAAATATGTCTTACTTAATAGCTTCTGGTACATAGCACACAGTATAATGTTTCCCACAGCATTACTTACATAAAACCATGCAGACCCTCTACCATTGTACTTATCACATTGTAAGCTATTTATCTATTTACCCCCCCTCCCCACTACCACCAAGACAGTAGACTCACTAAGAGGGGAGCCATGCTTTATTTATCTTTGCATCCCTAGTACCTGCCTCCGTGCCTGGCACGTGCTATGGCTGAATCAAGTACCGAGCAGGTAGATGCCCAGCACCATCTTCAACTATGTGCTTTCTGGGCTTCTACAACTGTGCTCTCCCCCATCCTCTCTTCTAAAGGGATAACACCATGGTTTATGATTCTATCTACATATTGCCGAAGATGCGTCACACGTAGGACATGCTTAATAACGAGTTACAGAATGAATCAAAAAAAAGAAAGAATGAATGAATGAATGAACGAGTGAATACATTTAGACTCTCAGGGCAACCGACTACAATGAATTAGTGTTTTGAGACACAATCACAGCTACAATTTAGAAGTAGTTTTAAAACCCAAATAATTCAAAACATACTTTCTTCTAAGCCTTCAGGTTGGTTAGAAAATATATTTCCATCTAAATGTGAGCAATTCATAAAATGTTTTACACATGGGAAATTTTTATTGAATGTATTCTGTAAGGCTTTAATTTTTTTATACCCCTTAAAAATGGCTTAACCTGAAGAGCACAAAAGGCATTTTGTATTTTGTATAATTTTAGAGGCCACAGTAGGGTTTGCATAAAAAAACTCAGAGATTTATGTAGCATATTTTTAAATGGCATAACAACAAATTTTTGGTAGTTTTAAAGAATTTTACTTTAGAAATAGAACTGTAAAAACATTTTGTATCATAATATTTGGAAAAGGAAAAACGGGAAAGAGAATGATGTATTGCTTGTAATTTTCAAGCACATAATAAATGTTTAAACTATCATCTTGGTTTTAATTTAGCTATTTTCAAGAGTATATTTCAAAAGACTTAATGAAAACTTAAGCACAACTTCTTTATTAATTAATTTCTATTGAGTTAAAAGGAAGAGTCTAAAATATTGCCAAGAATATGAAGGTTTTTTTTTTCTTTTCTGTCTGTACACTGCCTTATGGTAACATTTAATGGTCCTGGTATTTTTTGCTCATTTAACTAGTGTGATCAACATTACTATTGTTTGCAAGATCCTAGTATCTGGAGAAAAGAATGCAGTTTTCAAGCTTTTTTTCCCCATCTGATTTAGTTCTTATTTTACCAAAAGGTCAAAGCTGTACAGAATAAAAATTATGTATCAAAAATCTCTCCTTTGACTTTTATGAGAAATCAGTATGTACTATAACAGAGATAGAGTCCTGTGGCATTTTGAATGGGAACTAAGATAAATGTAGACCATTTTAATTTTAAATTTCTTTAATATTAAACAACAAGTTGTTTACGAAACATAATCTGTTCACATTAATAACCAACTAACTTCAAACAATTGTTTTCTCCTTAAGGGCAGCAGTTTTACACAATAAGAAATCCAATGCACTTTAAATGAAGCATGATGGCCCTCATATATGTACCAGAAATGTTCAACGAATTCCAGAAGTTACTTTAAATCCTTGTGTTTATATGTGAATAAGTATGCTTGTGTATTCATCGCTCTCCATATTTAGTAGTGCTAATTTTCAGAGTTCCAAAAAATTAAGAGAAAATGAGTTGCACATTTGACTTCTAAAAATAGGAAGTTCAGAACCTGCTACTTATGAGATCTTTAATTCTTGAAAATTAGTGGGAGTATTTATTTTCATTAAAACAAATTCACTTTGATTTCATATTTAAATGGACGAAAGTCTAGATTAGTAACAGTTTTCTAAGGTAGATCATTTCTGAACAGTAATTAAACAAAATGGTTTCCACTCGGTAGTTTTAAATCCATATAGAAAACCATTTCAGGATCCTGCCACACTCAATCTTTTGGTACAATCTTCATTTTTCTTCATGCAGAGAGAAATATATTATCTACTTAGTTGTTCTAGGACTGAGAGATAGAGTAGGCAAGTCATCCCAATTTGCCTAAGACTTTCCTGATAAATAAAAGTCCCAAGTCCTGGGAAATCCCTTAGCCTAGGACAATCAGGACAGTTGGTCCTGAGAGATGAACTAAACTTGGAAACTTTGAGATAATAAAGCCTTACCTTAACATCATTCGTCTTCATTCTTGTTCCCTCCTTTCCCACAAAGATATCATCGATATCCACAAGAATGTACCTGTCCAGGGACAACGTGAGCCTCTTCCCTGACAAGAAGGAAACCGCATCTATGAAGATGAGCTTGTGCAACCAAAAGTTCAAGTTGTTGCCAAAAAGGACTCTTTGAATTCCATCGTGAAGCCCCAGGTCGTGTATGACAGTGGCATAAAAAGCACCTTTAGAGATGGGAGGAGAAAGGTTTTCTGGGATCTTTACTTTGGCAAATATTACTGGTTGGTAGGCTGAGTGATTAATCTGAAAAACTGTCCAGTCAGTTCCAGGTAAAGAAACTTTTTCAAGCTTGGACGATTTGGTCACATGAAGCAATGGAGAATGAGGATTAATGCAACAATCTTTCACTGCAAGGTTTCCATATATGGAAAAAGGGAAACTTTTCAACTGAAAGCTCTGTAGGCTCTTCTCACCAGTTTTGTGGAATCCAATGACACCCACACCATATTCTACACAGTATTTATCTAAGAGGCTTCGATTCCAAGAGTCCATGTTTATATACTTTAAAATATTCTCATAAATAATGAGAGTATATTTGCCTTTAGTTTTTTCTATAAGTGCTGGGAGATCCCCCTTTCCAGGAGCAATTTCAATGTGATATTGGAATCTACTTGATTCTAGAATCATAATGATGTCTTGGCCAAGCGATGAGTACTGGCTCTCCACAAACACTAGGACTGTGGGGTCTGTCTTCAAGGCATCAGAGAGCTTCATTGTCTTCACTTCCATCAGCCTGTACGGTATGTGTTGGAAGTCCCCACAGTCCACTTCTGAAGCCATCTCAGAGAGTTCATTTTCCTGTCTGTAGCCATTGTACAGGTAGTAAGCGGAAATAACAATGCTCACCATGCAAAATGTGGCAAGCAGAATAACTGTCCTTTGAAAGTGTCTGTGAAGTTTCATGATAAAACTCATGTTGTATATACTTTCCTCACACTGTTCCAATAGAAGCACCATAAAAAAAGAAAAGAAGAAAAGACGGTGTCTCAGGTACTTTTCCAGGCTCAGTCAATAGTTTATGTTACCATTGCAGCACATTTGTATCGCTTAATCAGGACTCACACAAAATATAGTCTGAAAAGTAGAATAAAACAGAATATAAAACATTCAGTCTGAAGCATTAAAATGAGCAAGTTTTTATCCTGTTGACCTGGCACATGTGGCATCCTGTTAGGCAGATGAACTGGTGTGTGGAAAGTAAGAAACTCTTCCTTTCCTTCTCCCAGATCTAGATGAGGACATGGGAAGGGTGGAAAGGGGGAAAAAGGCTCCATTGAACAGAAGTCTCTATCCCTAGTGTAAAAAAGACATTGGGCTAACAAGGAATTTCCTTTTAGTCTCTGAGCTTTGCATCAAACTCTGTAGATAACATAGACTTGAGACCACAGACAGGTCACCTGAGCCGTGCATACACTGCCACATCATGTAATGCATACTCAAGCTACTTGTGTTTAATTACATATACTGAAAATTCATAATAGTTTAGACATTTTCATTAAATGCTACAATTAAGACATCAGGTTTTCTTTTCCTGAAAAGTTGTTGACACAGTGAATTTTGTCATTATATTTACATTTCAAATTTATTAGAGAAAGAACCCTATGAGAGTTGCTTTCATTAGAATAACCATTTCAAAATGCAGATAAGGTCTCCTGACACAAATGGTCATCTTAGAACTGTATATTTACATAGTAGGGTTTTTAAAAACCAGGGCAGTCTTTTGGTGAGAAGAACATGTGGAGTGAAACACTCCCCGAGGTGCTCTCAGCACTGGTGTGAGACCATGAGGGCATCATGTGCTTCTGGGGAGGACATACTTAATGTAGAACCATTTTGCGTACCATTCTGTTTCTGCTTTTTTGTTAAAAGAGCTCAGTAATTATATGAAAAAAGTACTATTAAAGTATTTTTAAAAACATAATGAAAACAACTGAAACTTCACGAAATACCTTGTTACGCTATAATTTAAAATCTCTTTCAAGTCTTAGTAACCTTTAAAGAATTTAGTAGCTTTTGAAAAAGACAAAGAAAGAAACAGGAGTGGTTCTTAGAGCAGAAGTTTATTAGAGTCTTATGGTTCTGGCACTTTTCAAGGAAATATCATGGAATATAAAAGAGATTAAGAAAAGTCTTGTCATTATCCATAAAGCAGGCTGAAAGCTGGCTGGTAAGACAACAAGCACTGGTGGAGAACATTGTACTTGATGTTTTCCATAAAATTAGGTTTCAATGCCTCTCTGCCTCTTATTAATTGTGTCACTTTAGCCCCAGTACCTTCCAAGCAAACTGATGAGGTGAGAATAAATAATTACCAAGAACATTCTGGCTCTAAAATTCTGTGATATTCACCTATGAAATAAGCAATGAACAATATTTTGAATAATATATGTTTATATTTATGAAAAAATATGATATTATGGAGTATAACTGTGGGATTTTTACAGGATAAATATGTTATTTATTCTGTAAATTATATATTATAGTTTATTCATTCAGATATTTAGGGTATCTATGTCATTCATTCAAATATTTATGGGGTAACTATCTTTCTATTTAAAATATATACGTTCAGCAGAGTGAATTTCTTTAAAAAGTCCAAAATTATAAAGTAGAGATAGTACTATCTCTATAAAGTCTATAAAGTAGAATGACAAACGACAATGTATGGGTTGTTGATTAGAGACAAATGACTGTACCGGGATGAGAGAAGAGACTATGGCAATTGAGGGTCTGCAGTGCTCTGGAGGGAGGTATGATTTGGGCAGAGCCTTGAAGGATGAGGGAAATATAAATTGGCATTTGAGATAGAGGGAACTTGATAGAGGCAGCAGTGAGCACAACATTGGGCACGGGACACTCTGATGGAGAGTAGAAGGAAAGAGTGGAGAATACCTAAAAAATAAATTTTACAAAGTATTGGTAACTCAGATTATGGAGAAATTTGGTAGCATAGAAGTTCAAGGTTGAGAAAGCCCATAGGGAGCCATTACACTTTCCTGATTTGGGGAATAACGTGATAAGAGTGAGATTTTTCAGGAAAATGAACTAATCAGTAGCGTGGAAGATATAGAGCAGTGGTAGAGAGTCAAGTCTGGCAAGCCAGTGCGGGCTCATTTCTCACAATCCAGTCATGAACTGTTAGTGATCACAGGTCAGGAGAATGTGGGAAGGGACAAGTCTGAGGGACACGGCAAAGAAAGAAGGGAGAGAACTTGGAATGTCATATGAGGTCTGCGATACACCACCCCTCTGCCAAGTGAAATGTCATCAAGTGATCCAACATGCTCTAAAATAAATCTAATATAAAGGATAACATTCTATTCTTTTAAACATTCTAGCATAGGGTTAGGTGTAATTTAAGCAAATCAAAATTACCAGGACAACTGAGAGTTTTCATTGTAACTGTAGTTATTTCATTCTGAAAGGTAATTGCACTTCTAGAGTTATGTGCATGTTTATGAATAATATAACATTCTGGAGTATAATAGCAGGATACCAAATCTCAAATCTCTCTATGCCTCTGTTTCTATTTTAGCTGTGAAGTGTTTTTGACTGGATACAAAATGTATTACCCCATTTCACATTTCAGATAGCGGTGTTTCGTAGCTTGTTCCTATTGTCAGAAATGAAAGGCATGTGACTCATACAATTCTTATATGTGATGAGGCAGAGCGGTGAGGAGTATTTGCTCTCACTATTTAGGACGTATATCAGGAAACTTCTCCATTAGCAGGTATAAAATACTAGAAATGGAAAGACATTTCTTTTCCATTAAACTCTTCAAGTTTCCTCCTGAAGCCAAAGGGAATTCCGGTCTATGTCCCTGAGGGGTAGGATTTGGTCTAACATATTTAAATGGATACATCAAGATTCTCTAGGTTTTCTGCAAACCTTTTTCAACTGCACATCTCACTCTGCTGTGGCCAAATTTAGTCTCTGGTGTGGACTCTCAAAATATACTGTTCTTACTGCAACCTCATCCAGCAACGACTTCTCATTCTCTGTATGTCTCAGCTCTGAAAATCTCAGGATGGACTGAACTGTTGCTGTCACTCCTTCTTCTGCATAGAATGGCCCTGTAGCAGCTTCTCCTGAGCCCTTCACTGGTGGGGCATCACTCGGAAGACAGGTACATGTGGAAAACTAAGGTCCTCCACACAATTCCCCTGTGAAACCTTCTCACTATGGAGCTGTCCTTCCCAACTTGGGTGAGACCCAGCAGTTACACACGGCCACTGTGGAAAGTATCTCACCTCTGTACTTCTTGACATTATTGTAATTAAAATTTCATTTAAAGTCCCTCTCCCTTGTCTAATGGTAAGCTCCAAGAGGGTAGACATAATGCCTCTTTTGTCTATCATGGAGCCCCTTGTGCCAGGCACAGAGTAAGCACCCACTGACTATTTGTGGAATTAGTTGACTACAATGGCATATTAACCTTATGGGTTAATTTGACACTTCTACTTTATTCTAATGCCATAACTTATTTTTAAGGTTACACATCACTATTAGTATGATTATAATTATCTACACATTTGCTGAATTTAATGTCTCTGTTTATTTAATACTAAGAAAATATAATCATACTATCCCAACATGGGATAAAAAGCCACACAGGTAGATAGTAAATCTTCACTCACCCAAAGATATCTACCAATTAATCATACTGCAATCAGTCATCAGGTATTTATTGAACACCTGCTTTGGGCTTAGTGCTGTAGTAGGTGCTGGGGACACTACAGAAGCAATATTAGGAATGATTCTTGTCTGCAGAAACATAGTCTTTATTGGGGGAAACAAGACTCATTAAGCAGCCAACATTATGTTGCACATAGTAAGTAGTCATTTAGGTTGTGCAGATTATATCTGTTACAAGTTTTAGAGGAAAGAGTAAGAGAGATTAATGAAATTTAGGAAAGTCGGTGGCAGTTTCCAAGAGACATGGTGCTTAAGGGGGACATAGCATGATGGGCAGGGTTTGGATATGAGGATGGGGTGAACATGTCAAAGGAAAAAAAACCCAGCAAAGTTGAAGAAATGAAATGGTTACAATGTATTTACCTGAGAGTGAGACTAAATTAATTATAAGACACTATGTGTTGGGTTGAAAATGGAAATGATATTTCATTGAAAGAGTCCTGCAGATTAATGAATGCTCTTAGAAGTAATTGTGAAGCACAAGGATGCTGACTTGGAAATAAAGAGCATTGGATGTATTTGAACAGAAGAGAGACAATAAAAATAGTGTTTATGGATAATTAGTCTAGCAGTGACATCCGGTATGGACAAATGGCAGTAATAGGAACAGAGAGAGTATATGCCACACTGTACAGAATGCAGAAGGAGGTGGAGTCAGAACAGCTCAGCTAAGAGGCTGCTGCACAACCCAGGTGGGGGGTGGTGTGAGTCCAGTCTAAGGTGGTTGGCAGGGAGAATGAAAACCAAGAGAGACTTGGGAGGAAAACAGAAAAGGACATGATTACTATTAGAGTATGGTTGGGGCAGTGGGCAGGCATGGGGACTAGAAGAATAAAGATGCCAGTAATAGAGACACGGAAGCTTGGAGTGGAAATTGGCTTGAGCTGGTGATGTACACCTAAGGTTCAGACAGGTGACTACATGATGCCTGGGGAGATAGCAAAATCACAATGTTCTATAAAATACGTAGTTGGACGTTGACAAATAAAAAAGTCAAGGAAATACTTGAAATTGACGGGTCACAGGCAAGTCTTGACATGCGACACACACTCAATTCCTCAGGAAACTCCACTCCTCCCCCCTTTACACAGGGTCCCTGGATTATGTACTCTAATTATAATCACTTTTCCTTTGGGGCCTTTATCACAACTCGTACTAAACATTACTAGCAATGTTATTTGTTTAATGTCTCTCTTTCTTGTTAGACTGAAATTTCCAAGGGGATAGGATTCGTGTTATTCCCAGTAATCTTTCAAACAAGAAACGGGATAAAAACATTTTTAAAGGCCAACAAGCTCAACAGGAAAACACTTCATATAGTGATGACTGTGTTCTTGAAGTGCTCTCACAAAAATACGTAGAAATT